TCTGATGTCAGTACAACTGGACTCAAGTCCAGCAGCATCTCAGAGACTAATGAGATTTCCAGGCTTCCGAGAACCAAGCTCCCTTCGTTGGTACTTGATGAAAGGGGAATCGACACTCAGATTTTTATACCCCCCTCCCAAACCTTGTTGGTCTGTAAGGTGCTACTAGACTTGAATATGGCTCTTCAACAGCAGGCCATCGCAGTTCTTTTCTGAAACTATCTGGCGTAAGTAGCGGATCAGGGGAACTATGGTTTCCCTTCACAGTTGACTTACTAATAACTGCACTGCTACTGTGACCCTGGTGGCCCTGCCTTAGAGAAAGAAATTGTCCTGTCCAGTGTTCCCTTCAAGCTGAGTCAGTGTGAGCAAGCTCACAGTTTTTTAGCCTCCAGCGCACACACACATACACACAAATACTAACCAAAAGAAAAGGGCAAGAGTTTAGTGGCACCTTAAAGACTAACAAAATGTGTGGCAGGGTATGAGCTTTCGTGAGTCATTGCTCACTTCTTCAGATAATAGATAAAAGAAATGAGGTCCAGGAATTCAGGGTGAGAATCAATGGATTTCCTGACTCTGGCTGAGTTAAAGGGAAGAGGGGCTTCCCAGAAAGGTGACAAAAAGAGATTGCATCCAGGCAGGGTGGACAAAAGGGCAGGCAGGATGGAAGCACCCCCTCTGCCTGCAGCAGGCTGGTAGGCTAGGAGACAGTCAGGGAACATCAGCAAAAGGTAATCGGCTCCCGCCCCAACCTGGATAGCCCAGGCAAGCCTGATCTCATCAGGTCTTAGAAGCTAAGCAGGGCCGACCCTGGCAAGTACTTGGGTAGGAGACCTCCAAAGGAATACCTGGGCCAGGAGGCAGAGGCAGGCAGTAGTAAGCCACCTCTGTAAAATATCCAAGCCCCACTAGGGGTCGCTAGAAGTCAACCACGACTTTCATCCTGAATTCCTGGACCTAATTTCTTTGAAATTCTTTCGTGCTGCTCTGCTAGCCCAAACTGTGCTGTCTCATCCTCTCCGCTTGCACAGAGGCCGACAACGCCCCTTTTCTTTCTCTAGGACTTTGGGACATTTACTTGCCACATGGGACATTTACTTGCCGCATGCCTCCATGCCTTACCTTATTTTTCTTTGGGGTCTTTGGGAGTTCTACCTAAAGTCCCTACTCTCAACTTGTGGTTCAGCCCCCTGCCCCCCCGGACTTTAAGTAAACGCCCCTCATGGAGGGATGGGGAGAGGGAGTGGTGTGTATGAGAGTCTTGGTTCTAACACCTCAGTCGAATCCCAGTTTAGGATTCTGGTTTGTGCAG